TATGGCCAAAGAAAAAAGTTATGATAAATACTTAACAAAGATTTCTTGTCAAATTCTCACTTGGTTTTATGTAAACAAGTTCATGCTTCTCTGTGCTGACCACTTGTATGTAGTGGGTTCCATAAATATTTTTGATGCAGGGGTCTGCTACTGTAAAACTCACAAGTTTATTGATTATCTTGGTTATTCACTGCAATATGTGACCTTAATTTCTACACTTGAACTTTAAGTTCTGATTCAGCATTTTTTTAGCTTACTGGAGCCATTTTAGTACTAGAGCTATTGTACATCCACTAATGTAGCACTTATTGCATAAAATTATATTTGCCATATCCAGATGTCAGTTTCATAAATTGATTGTATACTAGAATACTTAATAATATTCTTGTGGACTCTTATTTTAAGCTGCATTATCATAGATTGGGCATGGCGTACGCACACATTTGCTGGTGCCAAGAGCCATGCTGGGAACTTGATTTAAGCAAACTGGGGTTGGGGAAGGAGCAGGGAGGATCAGGAGAGAGAGTGGATCCACAGGGAAAGATTAGTCAGTCTGAGGTGTAGGGGGAGACGGCAGTGGTCAAAAGGGCTAAAATAGTCCATCAGAATTGCGGGGAAGGAAAAGCACAAGCCCCAAGGCTGAGGCAAGAGGCTGGGCATTCCCAGCCCCAGGGCTGCAATCTGAATGTGTACACACATTTGTTATATTGGGCAAATCCATTCCCAGCCTATCTAACTTAGTCCGCCTCCCCAGGTGAATAAAGTTACATCAGGTCAGCCATTTTTTGCCTGATCTAACATCCCTTTATGCAGCCCCACCCTTCTCCACCAATCAGCAGGTAGGGGTGGGGCTGCATGAAGGGCAGCCCTCTCTGGCAAACAGTGCTGGAGGGAGCAGCCACCATCTTGACTTCTCCCCTTCAGGCTGGTGGCTTCCTCCCCTGCAGGCTGAGAGGCCAAGGCCACAACAGCATTTTATTTTTCATAGGTTTTTTTTCCCTGGCAGTTCCATGCAAAATTGTGGAAACTGACATTTTTCACAGTGTTTGCGGAAACTGCTGTTTTTTGCAGCTTCTGCAAAAATCACAAAATCGCTATTTGAGTAGGTCTCTATGAATATTTGTTCCAGTTGCCTCCTACTTTGAATTAAAATAAATGAAACTACAGATTTTCATCAGAAATGCACAAAGTTGGGGAAGAACTGTAATTGATACGTCTATTTGCTTCCTCCTCAGCCCGAGCAATGCTGCAACATGTGGTTCCTATCCAGGATTTATTCATTCATTCATTCAATGAGGTCACCTGTATTTTAATAACTACATGTTTTGCAGGAAAGATCTCTTACTACATCAGTTCTTGCAGGTAAAATTATTGGAATCACAAATGAAAATAACTCATTAACCCTAGTAGAAACCATCAAAACAGGATCACTGAAGCAAATATCTCCGGAAGAGAGAAATCACCATTTAGGTGCATGAAGGAGAACATAATTAATCTAATTTATGACAACCCTTCCCCCCCCCTTATAATTATGAATATTTCAAATCTTTTTTCCACGATACTAATTAGTTGAAATAAACCAATGGCATTATTTACATTCATTTAAAGATTTCGTCAACCAAGAGTTCCCAGGCATTCC